ACTCATCCACCTGAGCATCCTCATCTCTGCCGCACTTAACTTAGTATTATGCTTCTCTATAATCCTAGAAAATTTTTTTACTTTATTTTTTATTTTATGCCCCTTTATCTTAAAGTCCAAAACTAATAATCGATGTTGGGTACATAAATTTTCACTCGGAATAACTTTACAATCTTTACAATCTAAATGATTTAATTTTCTAATAAAAAATAGTCAATCTGGGTTGTACTATATCCATTTTTATATGTGATGAGATGCTCATTTCTTTTTTTAAATAAGGTATTAGCAATTGAAAAATCATAAGCTAAACAAAAATCTAATATGGTCTTGCCACCTTCATTTGTTATTCTAAAACCACAGCCACCATGAATGCTTTTAAAATCATCTACCTCTCTACCAACATGTCCATTTAAATCTCCTCTAATAAAATTTTTTTCTTCTAGAGGTATCTTTTGTAATAATTCTTCTAAGTCATTCCAAAAATTTAATTTAGAACTCATATCCAAACCTACTTGAGGAGCATAAGCACTTATAATATTAACAATCTTATCATCAACAATAATCTTTAAAGCTATAGTTCTATCTTCAATCCTATTAATTTTTATAACATTATCCTTCAAACTCTTATCTATAATAACACCTACACCATTTCTAGTACGACTCCTACCCGAACAAAGTTTAAATCCTAAACTATCAATTTTCTTAGCCTTCTCTCCAACCCATTTAGTTTCCTGAATGCTCAAAATATTTATCTTCCTATGAATCATAATATCTATTAATTCCATTAATTTTCCTGTAAGGAAACCTATATTCCAAGTTCCTATCCTAATTTTAGTTTCATGGACTAGCTTCTTTGCCCACATCCATCCTTTATGTGGGAACACTTGCTTATTTAACACTGCACCCAGGCGCCGGTGCAACGGCCCTTGCACACTTGTCACTGTATTCAGGCCATACAGCGCATCGCTTACAGGGGACACTCTAGCATTAATACAATTTCGTAAAGGATTCATGTCATTATTATTCGACATATTTTACGCTGGCTGTCGACTGTCTAACGCAACCCTCCACTTTTCTCATCCAGGACTTGGGACCTGGCAACGGTAGTGTTCTCTTATGGTTTTCTTTGCACAATGATTTTCATAATACTCTTAAAATGCATGTATTAGTTTTTTAACTTCCTTTTTGCTTACTTCTTATATATTTTTGTTTATTAAAATCAAAGTCTTGAATTTATTATATTACCATTTATTCCTTCTCTAACCGAGTGAAGTGGAGTAACATCTGTGGGAATTTCTCATTTTTGAAAATACAAAAGGAAAATGTTGTTCCTCCAAATAGCTTGGAGAAGACTAATGATTTTGATGATGATGATGATGCCGTCTACTTAATAGTGAATGATGTTTGTTTTACCTATGTTCTTGCTTTGTTTTGCTATTGGATGCTATTTTGAAAAAAATGCGTTAGTTTTGATATTATGAGGTAACAAGATATATTCAGTCTGAGTAGAATTTCATTTTTACAGTATAATTCCTATGAAATTAAATTGAACATTACTAGTTTTTTCATGATTATTTGCTACTATGGTTTATATTCATGGCTTGATTTAGATTTTCATTAATTTGGGCAGTGAGTATTCAATGCAGCTTAATGCTTCTCGTATTAAAGTTCTTCAAGCTCAAGATAATCTGGTCAATTCAATGAAGGAGGCTGCTGCAAAGGAGCTTTTGAATGTTGCCCACCATCATCATACATATAGACATCTTTTGAGAGATTTGATTGTTCAGGTCAGGCTAACAGTTTACAATCTTTGCAATACCACACATGTTTGACCATTTCAAATTAAATCAGATATCGGTTATACATGTGAAACATTGTGAAACTAAATGGCATGCAATTTATTTACATGATCCAGAAAGACAAGGACCTCTGTTCTTGATGCCCAGAGTGCTTGGTAGTTATTCGTGGATAGGCATATGTTGACTCTGGTGTTGGTTATTACATATTCCTTCAAGATTTCCATGGTTGAATTAAAATTAAAATATCCTTGAATAGGCCTAAGAATAAGCTACCTATGATGCATCCAATTCCCTATAATGGTTTTCACAAGCATGAGCGCGCTTGCTTTATTACGATTGAAGTTTTTTTTTTGCTAGGTAAATGCAAATGTTTTTATGAATTAGTTGTCATAGGATCCTAAAGCTGAATAGAATTTGGTGAATCTCTTTTGTATATCTTTAGAAAGAATAGTTTTGGCGGAAAAGTTAGTTTTGGGTATTCGAAATGATTTTATTTTTTACTTTATTTTGTTTCAAATGTTAAATTTTGAATATTTACAGCTTGGTTGATATGTGTTGTAATTTTAGGGTTTGCTTCGACTGAAGGAGCCAGCTGTATTGCTGCGCTGTCGAGAGGAGGATCTTGAGCTTGTGAATGGTGCTGTGCACATTGCAAAGCAGGAATATGCAGAAAAAGCTGGTGTCCATACTCCCGAAATCATTATTGATAATCATGTGTATCTGCCATCTTCTCACGGTTATCATGTTGCACATGGACAATTTTGGTAAAAAAAGTCTTCTTTTCTAATTTATAGTCTTCTTTTTAATTCATTAAATGCCATTGATGTCTATAATTAGGATATTTTATGGTATATAGAGAATATACAACAATTTCTTTTGTCATTCTAGCTTTTTTGTATGAATATTCTCATGTTTTAGCTGGAGTTATGCCAATATTACTGTTATATATTGTACTTATAACACAATCCATGTCTTAATCTTGGAAATATCACCTTGACTCCATAATTCATAAAATCATTTGAAAATGTATCATTCAGCCTGATGATTTATTATCATCATCATCATTAGCATTATTCAGGGATGCGCCAATGCTTCGAAGTATAAGTGCATGCAATGTCTTATGCATGTAAGATATTGTTAGACTGGTCCAGCCGGTCCTACGGGACCGGCCTGTTCGCTAAATGGCGGAGGACTTCCACCTCCCTGTTCGAGCCATGTGAGCCGCCAAAGCCAATGGAGCATTTTAGGAAGGATTTCTGAGGGATTTGGGTGGGAAATTTGAATGGATGGACCGTTTAGGGATTTCCTTTTTATTTGTATGCATTAAATACTTTATTTTCTTAGGGTTAGGGCATCTTGAATTTGGCTGAAATTTGAGATCTCCTAGATTTAAATTTTCTTTTGGGCTCGAGGGGCGTCTAGAGATTTGGGAGAGGTAGATCCCCTCTCGAATAGAGGATCAATTGTATCTTGCTGTTTTTCTTCTTCTACTAGTGAATTTCAAGGGTTTTCTTCCTGATTTTCCCACTGGTTTGGAGTAAAATTGCTGTTTACAGCAGGAATTCTGGCAAAAACTGTTGTTGACAGCAGAATTTCAGCCTGTTATCCACTACTTCGGGCTGTTTCCTATCAGATATTTACTTGGATGTGGAATATGACACCTACATCTGTTGGAGATGGACAAGCATGTCCAAATTTAAAGAAGTTTACTATTTTTTACCCTTGTGTTTGGTATGATGGGACATGATTGGGACACATGTAATTCTTTTTAGCACTCTTTGGATTGCACCTTGGTGTATGCTTTTTGCTGATGATATTCTTTTTGTTGATAAGACTAGAGAGGGAGTTGAAGGTAAACTTGAATTATGGAGGTCAACCTTAGAGTCTAAAGGTTTTCGCTTGAGTAGATCTAAAACGGAATATATGGAGTGTAATTTTAGTAGTAATAGACCTAGTGAGGGGATTGTGACTTTGGGCGATCAAGTCATTAATAAGAGTACACCTTTTAGATATCTTGGATCTATTGTTCAGAGTGATGGTGAAATAGATGGGGATATTATCAGTAGAATTCGATGGTTGAAGTGGAGGAATGCATCGGGCTTGTTATGTGATAGAAATGTACCCCTCAAACTTAAGGGAAAATTCTATAAGATGGTAGTGAGGCCTGCAATGCTTTATGGTGCCGAATGTTGGCCATTAAAAGAGAAGCATAATACTAAGTGTGGCAGAGAGGAGGATGCTCAGGTGGATGAGTGGCTTTACCCTTAGAGATGGGATACGAAATGAGCATATACGTGAAAAGGTTGGAGTAGCTCCAGTAGAAAATAAGATTAGAGAGAGTCGCCTTAGATGGTTTGGTCACATAAAACGGCGGCCTTCCGATGACCCGGTTAGGAGAGTAGAGGTATTAGATTTGACTTATGTTAAGAAAGGTAGGGGTAGACCTAAATTGACTTCGTTAGAAAATATTAAGAATGACCTTTCTTTATTAGATTTAAACGAGAATTTGACTTTTAATAGGACACAATGGAGAAAAAGGATTCATATAGCCGACCCCACGTAGTGGGATAAAGGCTTGATGTTGTTGTTGTTGTAAAGTTACTCATAACATTCCTCAAACTATTACAAGCTGGCTGCTTCTAATTGGCCTAAATTAAATGTGAAATCTAATTCTCCGCATAGTCAGAAAAAGATAATAAATATAATCAAAAGAACCTCAAATAATCATAGCAACAAGTAAGCAAAAGGAAAAAAACTACAAATCCCAAGTATTGTGGAGACTAGATCAAGAATAGTATCGTAAGAATAGCTGCAATATTACACAAAAAAATATACAACATAAGCTCGTAATGAACGGGTTCCAAAAGCCACTTGCTATAGGTATAGTGATAAAGGATTTTCATAAGAATTCAAAAACCTATAATTGACTAAGGCATGGCGAGCAACAAAAGAAACCCGTTACTACATGCTTCAAAATGGCAGAAGGAAACAACCCGTAATAGTAGCTAGCTAGCTAGACAAAAAAAAAGAATAGGTCAGCTGCAATCCTACTTCATTTTATCATACATTCCATTCAAGCATAAGATAAATTTTAGGGCAAGGTATAATGAAAAATATTAGAAAGATTATATATATATATATATATATATATATATATATATATATATAGTAGCATTTCTATATTTTTAAGGGGGCATTGTTCCTTATATATTTTGGAGGGGTATGGATTGAGATATTTTATGAAGATCATTTGATATATATGGATCTTGTTTGCCTTTTTTTTTTGGTATTAAGTGTCGGATTGGTCATTATAGACATTAGGGTATAAAAGGGGTTGATGATCTTTGTTACTTAATATTTGGGGTTGACCTTAGGTCCTAAATCCCAAGGGTTGATTAGATTAGTGGGTTGGAATTTTCTCTTGTTGAGATTTGATATTTTGATGATAACATGGATATCATTGAGAAGGTTTAATAAGGTATTTTAAGGTAGCAATTTTATAGATCTAAGCCTATCAATTGCTAGAAGTTGAAACAAGTGTTTGTTTAACCATCATGGTGAAGTAATGAATTTTTTATTGGTAGGATGGTAACACTAATATCCTTTTTGTGTGAAGACTTACCCAATAAAGATCCATTTGAGAGGTTAAAGATTAAGTTTACCTCTGTGTTATTTGTGGATATGGATGTAGACAATGCGCTCAAAGATTTTTGAATGAATTTTGTGCGGAAGTTCTTTTTGGGGAAGAATTTAATTTGATAAATTGTAAGATTTTTAAGCTAATCGCTCTTGAGGGTATTATATTGATTATGTATATGGAAGTTAGCATTGCTATTCTTCAATATCTTTTTTGGCACTTGATTTTAAAAGAAAAGAGTCCAAATGGTTTATAGCATTTGATAATTTTTTCTTTCTGCCATTCTATTTTTTTGGGAAGTGTCAGGATAAAAGAATTGATGGATGATATATTCTTTTTGAAAGAAAAATGGTAATTTATGGTTAAAGTAATCATGAGCATTATTAGTCCAAAATACTTTGATGTTAGCATAAAATTATTTTTGTATCATGACAATAAAAATGGGAAGAATATTGCTGACATTAAATTTTTGTTTGATAAGATTATGTCATTTGAGCACAATCATCAATTATGGTTAGGGATATAGGAATGCCCCCAAAATGCGAGAGTGCAGAATTAGAAAAATGAATAGAAGATTTAGAATCACTTTCAGTAAAACAAACACTATAAATTTTGACAATTTTACTTCTCTTATAATGAAAATTTTTCATGAAAAAAAAGAAAAAAAAAATTATATATTGTATGATTTTGAAAGTGAGATGACCTAGCCTATAAAAATTCCCATATGGATTATATTTTGAGGGTGGAAATAAATGAACATGGCAAGTGATTTCCATTTTTAAGAAGACATAACCCATTTTTTTCTCTAGCTTGACCAACAATAGTTGTTAGAGAACCATTTTGGGTTTCTATTTTTTATTATTGGGGCGGGGGTTTTTAAGTTTGGAAATGTTGGTAAGGTTGTTTATATGGTCAGTGGCTTCTAAATCTATGATTCATGTGTGAGGGGGATTATTCAATGCACTAAAAACACATGATTTAGAATTTTTATTGAGCTACAAAGCATGATTTTGATGGTTTTTCTCGAGAGTTGATGAAGTTCCTAAATTTGTCAATTTCTTCTGGTTTGAGCTATTCTGATTCCATAAGACAAGCCTATCCTTTTTGGTGATATTTTTTATTTCTATCATAATCCAAGGGGGCTTCTCATAGAGTTTACTCTATTTTTCTTAGACGTGTCATCTCTTCCTACAGAGTTTCATCATATATTGTTTTTTGAAAATGGCTTTTGTTTGTTTTATTTTCTTTTTTATGAAAAGAGTTTGTAGCAGTAAGTCCCTTTTCTTAGTATTTAGTGGTTGTTATCATAGATGTTTTGGAGATTGAAGCGTTGAGCATTATTGTCCTTCTTTCTTCTTCGTCTTGTATGAGAGAAAAAAAACCCCATTTAGTGATATTATGTTTTTTCTATTAGATTTGGACAAGAACTTGTTCGAAGTCATTATTCAGTCTTGCAAGGAAATCAAACATTTTTTTCCTACAAAATGCTTGTGAATTACCGCACCATCACTGCATGTCATCTTGAGTTTTTAGTAATAATCCATTCCAAGTTATCAAAACTTCATTATAATAAGGTACTCAATAACATGAATCCTATCTTGCTTAGTTGTTGAAATATTAGTTTTAATCCTATAAATGAGGGCAACATCATTCACTTTTGAGTGCATTGTTTAAAGACACCCTAAACTTCTTTTGTTATAGAGAGGAGCACATATGTCCCATTTATTTTATGTATCATGGTATTCCACAACTATGTCATGATAATGGAATTGTGTTGAAATGTCATGATTATGAAATCTATTTGATCTCGAAGTTCAAGCATTGGATCATTAAGCTTTTGAGGAGGATCCACAAGGTGGAGGCTCTTTCTCTTTCCTTTTAAAAAGATCTACACAATTTGATACCGCTTGTAGCCTTTCAAGTTATCCCTTTGTCTGATTTCCACCCTTCATATTGATTGACTCTTGGAAGAGTAGTTGAAAAAAATCAGTTATAATGAAGCGAATGAATCCTTATGAGGAGGAAAGAAAACAATATTTGATGAAGGAAATCTAACCTTACTTTGGTACCATGTAGAAAAGTAGGAAAAATTATTTTGAAATTTTATTTGTAGATTGGAGGTATTTATAGGTTTCTACAAGGACATTACATGTTGAAAGAAGTAAATTCAATTTACACTTTAAAATAAAAAAAGGGTGGACGGTTAGGTGAAGGGAAAGGAGAACACATATTGCAATCTAATGGTTTAAGAGGAAGGAGATCCAATGCCAAAGCTCTTCAATCCATAGGATGCTCAATAGATTATATTATAATTGGCTGCATAGACCCAGCTAGCGGAAATTGGGTTGGGTAGATGCATGAAGGAGCTAGAGGGGTGGATCCCACACTGTGGGACCCCATGCTCTTTAACAGATGTAATATTTATTTTCAAAAAGAGCTGTTCAATAGATTCGTTCTATGTTTACTGAATCCCGTTAAGATGGGTTAAATTCAATGGACCATAGTTAATGTCAGGCAGTACTAGAATACACCCTAGCAGCTCGTCAAGTTCACTGACAACGTTCAAGCAAACTTAGCGGTTAGAATTGCTTGGCCTGCTATAATATTTTTGACCAATATACTTCTTGAAGATTTCCAATCAGTCAGTTAATAAAATTGGCTGAGTTGATGAAGGTGATTTTTACAAAACTGTAAGAAATGTAGGATATTTTGAAGAATATTTTAACACTTCAATGCATAATTTAACCTAAATTAATATAAAAAAATTGAATTTAGCTTATAATATTAGAATGTGCTTAGAAAATTATACGTACAACTTAATAAAAGATTAAAACCCCTAGAGCTTTAGCTTGTTTCTTAGGCAAGCATGTACTTTCTTCATATTTTCCGGAATTAGTTCATCAAGATCTTCATCAAGCTTCTTTGAACTTATTAATCTTGATGGTTTTGCATTCATCCTTTCATGTTCAATGGTCTTCATTTCACTCCGAATTAATCAAGCTTTCTATCAAAATATACATTTTGAGTTCATGGGTTTACATATTACTTGAGCTATCAGTCCACATGCGTATCAAGTCTATGCACTCTTCAAATAAAATAGAGGGTCAATATAGCATGCATTCACAATTCCATATTAATATTATTTAACTGTAGAATAAAAAAGAATAAATTAAAAAATGGTTCTGGAGCACATAGATGCTCTTGCAGAAATAAAAATCAGTACACTAGCAAAGCCAGGAAGGAGACTGCCTGCGTACAAGGATCATGTCTACTGATTGAAGTGCATTCATGAAGAGCAAAATCATGTCTGGTATGAAGCTGAAACGAGCAGACACATGAACCAACATAACATGTTAAGGAAAATAAAAGAACAAGATATATTGAAGCCAAACGGTAGATTAACTGAGCAGAACTGCTTGTCAAATCCGAACAAGAACTAAATTTCAAGGAAAACTAGTTGAAAATTTGGTATGAAATGCAAGGGAAGCAAACCTTCATTTCACTACCATACATATAGGGCTATTAGCAGTATGATCTTAAACCAAGTTGCCCTAGCTCGGATTGGCTTGAATTCATGTGATCCTATGTCAGACTGAGTCAAACCTTATTATAAGTTAGTTTGATCCATTCTTGATTCTATTGAGTTTTATTGTCCAATTCAATTAGATTTCGACGACGACGACAACAACAATAACATCAAGCCTTTATCCCACTCCAATTAGATATCGACATCATAAAAAAATTCTAATACATACTTATACCCATATCCATATGGATATGTATTCATAAATGCATAGATGCATATATTCATTAAGTAAAATATTTGTACATGCATAAATTCATTTATACATACATTGGATTCGAGCTTGAGCTGGCTTGATTTGATCTAGATTTGGCTCAATTCAAGTTCAATTCGGCCCCTGATTCAATCCTATATTCAGCTAGCTCAATTTTAGACCTGATTCAATTCAAATTTGATTCAAGTTGGGATTGACTTTGTTAGTTGGCCCATTGGATTGAATCTGAGTTTGTTGTAAGCCAAAAAATGGTTCGATTTCAAGTGATACTTATTTTTTGAGCCAGATTCATAGCCTTATATACAAAGTTGAAGTGATTTAAAAAAAAATAAAGAGAAAATAGAAAAAGCTTCAATGACTAGACTAACGAAAGTGAAAATGGGAATGATGTTTTGTGGAAAATAGTTGTTTTCTTGCAAAGAGCAGCAAAGGTCATCTGGAGAGTTGTAGCTCCTTAGAGGCTGATGTGTGAGACATCTCAAGACTGAGGGTGTGGAATTGCAACCGCTCTTGTTGGGATAGATTTCAGGTTGCTCTAAGGGCTCTTGGAGAGATATGGATATCAATTAATGGAATTAATCTATCTAATGCAAAAGCTTCCCTTATGTTAACTTTACTACTAGAAGGTAGGGGTGTCAATATTTGACACGATACGAAAACCCGATTTGATTTCAAAATGGGTTGGGTTCGGGTTCATGGATTCGACTCGTTTGAAAACGGGTCAGGTTCGGGTTGACCCGACAGGTTGCCGGGTCAACCCGGAAACCCACTTGAAAAGAGCTGCCCGCATCTGCCCAGGCTTCCCGTGCTCTTGCCCCAGCTGCCTGTGCCCTGCCAGCCCAGCTACCCGCATGACAACGCCTGCCAGCCTGCCTCGCGCGCACCCATCGAGGCCTCCAACGAGCGCTTCGCGCCTGCCCGTGTGCTCGCGCCTGCCCACGCGCACCTGCGGACGCCCGAACCTGCCCTGCTCTCGCGCGTGCTCTTGTTCCGCTCGCGCCTACTCGCTCGGCCTGCCCCCGAGCACCTGCGGATGCCCGAACCTGCCCCCCCGCGTTCCGCTCGCGTTCGCGCCGTCCCGGTCCCGCCGCCCGCTCGCATCCGCATCCCGTGTCGGGTCTGGTCCGGGTCCTCATTTCCGACTCGTTTACATACCCGGGTCGGGTTAGAGTTGACATGTTTGAACCCGGGTCAGTTCTGGGTTCAACCCGAACCCGACCCGAAACCCAATTTTGACACCCCTACTAGAAGGTAAAGATTTGGTCATTTAACTGCAAACTTGATAGTCGTTTGCATTCATTTGAATATTCGATAGAATCCTATCTTCAAAAAGAAGTTTGCTGGAAAAACCCTTTCCAAATTAGCGTAGAAGCATGTACATCAAAATTTGATCGCCCATATTTTATTCTTTTGGGCTAATAAAGAGGGATTACAGATATAATACGTTGTTGTCAGGGAGATCAACTAAATTTTTGGAGAGCAATAATATGGAATATAAATTTCTTTCTATCTATATTCTGATTTGGGATATTATTGGTATACCACATTAGCACTCTAAACACATGAAATTACTATTATCCATCCTGATTTTCAATCCTACTAGTTCTAGTATGGCAGCTTGATCTATCTCTTCTCACTAATTTGCCACTCAATCAACCTCTTTTTCTAGAGTTTAAGATTAGATATGTCCGCAACCTCAAACGCCAGGCTTATTGAGGGGAGTGGAGCACCCGTAGCCTTATGGTAGTCTCCGATAAGCATGCCCTCTCTTTCCTCTGACGATTCATCATATGGCAGTAAAAAAAATAATATGGAAGACCAAGCAGTAGTGATGATTATTTGGCGAGTTTTTTTTTCACAATTAAGATGAGCTGTGGAGTTGATGTTTTTGCTGACTAAAAATAGTGCAATCTTATAGGACTCAATAGATTAGGGTAATATACCAATAATATTAGAGGTTAGGGTGAAGTACTACATTACTAGCAAATTCATATATTTAGAGCGATAAACCATTAGAATCCCCCATCTAATTTTTACATTTCAGTGGATTTTTGGCAAGAAGAATGGTACTAGTGCCGAGTGCTAGTCGTATTTGGGGATCATATGAGATAATTAAAAGGGAGAATATGTTTCCTAAATGCCATCTGAAATTCTATCTTTTCCTGTTTTTGGCATGTAAATATGCTGGGAAGATGTTTTTTGGTATATATTTCTGTAGTTGGGATTTGGTGTTTGAGGAAATGTAGTATAATGATATAAATTTGAAACATTAAACTTTACTTATTCAATAGGTTTACTAAAATGATATTACTTGTGTTTCCTAGCAAATGCTATCTTATATTCATGCTTAGCCACAGGAGTTCCCTAATAAGGTTAAATAATTTATGGACCACTGTATGCATGATGGAGAAGGTTTTGGATGCGTTCGTTAGAAAGCATGAAAAAGTTGTGTGCATTGATAATGGTGCTGTATTTTATCCACACCACAAAAATGTGTGCTCAAGCTTCTTTCACATACATTCCCACAGTTTCTGACTTGTTAGTGGTTGCTAGGGGTGTAAATGAGTTGAGTTGAGTCGAGTTTAGGCCTTATCGAGCTCGGCTCGTCAAATGGAAAGCGAGCTCGGACTCGAGCTCGTTCCATTTTAAATGAGCTCGAGCCGGCTCGCGAGCCATGGGCTGGAATTTTAAAATTTAGACGAGATTTTTAAACTTTGGCGGGATTTTTAAAACTTAGTCAAAATTTAGAAAAAAAAATATGAAATGTTTAACATTTAAATAAAATTTAGATGGTTTTTATTAATTTTTTAAATATTTAAATTTAATAAATAAAATTTAAAAATATTAATATTTATTCGAGCCGGCTTGCGGCTCACGAGCCGAGCCGGCTCCAGCTCGAACTCAAGCTCGACTTGTGAGCTCGATAAGCTCGGCTCGCGAGCCCATAAACGAGTCGAGCTCGAGCCGACTCGGCTCACTTACACCTCTAGTGATTGCAGATATCACAAAAGCAACATATATATATGGGGTTCCCCAAACTTCTGCGCATCTTGATCTTTATTATTGCTCTCTGTTGCATTGCTTCATTAATTGTGCAATTTCTGTGGTAGACCCATTAAACTCTGAATTCTGGCATTATTCAGTTCTATTTTCATTAGCAATTGATTTCTGTGTGCTTCATGCACTATAAATACTTAGCTCTGGCGGAGTTGTGCTGGCATCTCGAGATGGGAAGATAGTATGTGAGAATACACTTGATGCAAGACTTGAGGTCGTCTTCCGGAAGAAGCTTCCAGAGGTGCGTAAACTCTGAACATATCTTGTATTATATGATTTTCTTGGATGTATCTTGAAAGTTGAATGAATAGTTTCACTTATTGGCAATTCCGTCCGATTTGTCTTTAGATAGTTCGCTATTTTTATTTAAAAGTTGTGCCAATAATCTCAGCAATTTTGTTTGGATCTTCATATTCTTTGAAACATTTACTGTTGGAACTTAGGCTTCGTTTGGGACAGTTTTTTGTACTGCTTTTTAAAATGATTTTTTTAGTACAAAAATTTATTCTGCATTATAGGAGAATATAAAAATTGCTTCTTATTTTTCAGGAGGGGATATTGGATTTATCTCCTGCATTGTAGGAGAATTGGCACACATAAAATTTGAAATTTTTTTACAAGATGTTGTTTTAGAAAGCAAGAAGAAAGCCGTCCCAAACGAAGCCTTAGGCTTTATTTGGGACGGCTTTCTTACTGTTTCTTAAAACATTTTTTTAGTGCAAAAGTTAAAATTTTTGCACTCAAAAGCTGCTTCAAGAAACAGTAAAGATGCCATCCCAAATGAAGCCTTAATAGACTGATGGGATCATTTGTGCTTTGCTTTCTCTATTTATCTCCACTTTGCGTCTTTGCCTACCCTTTCCACAACTGCTTCCATCCAAGTTGCATTAATAAATAGGGCAAGACGAAACCTTTCTGAAAAGTAGAGATTTGATAGGTCAATCACACTGCTCACTTTCAACAATGGTAACTTTTGTAAGAGGCAAAACCTTAATGCTGCATGGCTCTGCAACATATCTAATGAAGGCTTAACCTAGTTCACTCATCAACAGTCTGGACTGCGCAATTAACATTTATCCACCCTTTGGTTTGCTCAACTCGAGTTAGAGTTAAAAGGCTGTAGTTGACTTGTAAAGTGTTTAGGGGAAGTATATGTTAGGAAAATAAAATTAGAGGGGGGGCTCGATGAATAGACCATGAGCTTTTTAGCCAAGCTTAATGCCATGTTTTATCATGAGCTGATTTTTTCAAAAAAATATTAATATAAAATATATTTAAAATATAATGTAGTTATAGAAACATTATTTTTTTTTTGCTTTTTATTTCAATTGATTTATTATTATTATTATTTTAGTTTATCTTTCTTTTTTATAATTTTATTACAACAAATATGTGAATTGAAACATGCCTTTCTTTTACAAAATGAGCCGACTCAAATTAATCAAATCGAGTTCGAGCTTTATCTCAAACTGGGTTAATTAGTCAGGCTCAAGATCAACAAGGGATTAGAGCACGACTTTACTCATTTACACCTCTATGTATAATGAAAAAAAATCTTTGCATTAAGCTGCTGCATCTATGTCTTTATTCATTTTCTTCAAGGGAAAATTCTATAAGATGGTGGTGAGACCTACAATGTTTTATGATGCCGAATGTTGGCCATTAAAAGAGAAGCATACTACTAAGCTAAATGTTGCAGAGATGAGGATGATTAGGTGGATGAGTGGCTTTACCTTTAGAGATAGGATACGAAATATGCATATACGTGAAAAGGTTGGAGTAGCTCCAATGAAAGATAAGATTAGAGAGAGTCGCCTTAGATGGTTTGGTCACATAAAAACGGCTGCCTTCTGATGACCCAGTTACTAAAGTAAATGTATTAGATTTGACTTATGTTAAGAAAAGTAGAGGTAGACCTAAAAAGACTAAATGATTTTTCTTTATTAGATTTAAACGAAAATTTGACTTTTACCAGAACATAATGGTGAAAAAGGGTTCATGTACCCGACTCCACATATTGGGACAAAGGCTTGATGTTTTTATTTTTTTATTTTTTTTCCGACTTTGTCCATAGCCTAATCCTCACTATTTGCCTCTTCAATTTTTACAGATCAGGAGGCTCCTCTTCAGCCAGGTTGCTGCTTGACTGCTCATGGTTCCAAGCCCTCTTTTGGTGTCTATTTGATGTATTGCCACTACTAAGATTATATTCTACAGTGTGCCATTTATTTGTTCAAATACAATAATGATCTCAACTTTATTACTATCTGAAACGCTGTTTTCACTCGTTTGAATCCCCTCGTGATTCTCTAAACTTTCTTGTAGTCTTCATCTTGACAGAAAGAGAGAATTGTCAAGTTGTTTCTTTCTTTTCTTGCTTGCTCTATTAGCTTTTAGTTTCTGCAGACGCTAAAATTTGGGATATCCAAATCCTTTTGGTGACTGAGTAATTGTCAATAAGATTATGACAATACAATATATATATATATATATAATGTGCATGTCTATTTCATGTCTTGCTCGAGCTCAGTTTGGTAAATGGATTGTGTACTGAGCTTGATGAGCTATGATTCAAGCTTGAGATAGCATTGAATTGACTCGTAAGCTTGAGCCGGTTCATTTAAAAAATATTAATTTAGAAAGTACTTAAAAATATATTAGAATTCACTCAATTTAGGATTTTAAATACAAAGTTATTAAAAACATTTAATAATTAAATACAAATTTTTATATTAAGTAATTTTTTATTATTACTTTTATTATTTCTCATGTTTTTCACCATTTTATTAAAATAATAATTAGTTTTTCTTTTTCATAATAAATGAGCTCGCTAGGGAACCAACTTGAATTCGTAGAATAAAGCTCGAGCTTGGATTTATTTAATTAATTAAGTTCAAGTTCAAGTTAGAAGTGACTATAACTATTAATTAGTTTATTAAAGATTGAAGTAGCTCTAATTATTATTTTATTAAAATAATAATTAGTTTTTTTTTTTCATAATAAATGAGCTCGTATAATGAGTATGTATGTGAAAAGATTGAAGTAGCTTCAATGTTAGATAAGATTAAAGAGTTTTCTTAGATGATTTGGTTATAAAATATTGGCTTTTAGATAACTTGATTATGAGAGTATATGCATTAGATTCAATCTATATTAAGAAAGATAGGGACAAACATAATAAGACTTAGTTAGAAAGTATTAAAAATGATAACTTTTTATTAGATTTAAATTAGAATTTGAATATTAATAAGATACAATAAAAAAATAATTCCAATAGTCAATTTTATGTAGAGGGATAAAAATTAGATGTAAATATAAAAAAAAATAGTTTTTTTAATATGAAAAAACAATGGTCACGACCAAGACTTAGTTAGAAAGTATTAAAAATGATAACTTTTTATTAGATTTAAATTAGAATTTGAATATTAATAAGATACAATAAAAAAATAATTCCAATAGTCAATTTTATGTAGAGGGATAAAAATTAGATGTAAATATAAAAAAAATAGTTTTTTTAATATGAAAAAACAATGGTCAGGACAAAAAACTATTTCAAATAGGTAAAATTATTGCTCACGATCATTGGATGCAGTCCTGAGAGAGATCAATCAGGATGCACTATATCATTAATATAATTATATATTAGATGATATGACGCATTCTGATTGATTTCCGAATAATTAAAAATAATAATCTGTCCCAGAAAGGGCGATTGCGTCCGGTCTTCGGATGTCCGGACATCCAATCCGATGACGCCACGTCACTCAAATACACTGGATCCCGATTTATTTTGATGATATGATAACACCGGAAATTGGTGTCCGGACGAATCCAGACACCGGACGTAATAATTTGCCCCCAAATAGATAGATAGGGGAAAGCTTTGGCCTTTGGCTGTTACTGGAGGCGGCGGGATTTGAGTGTGGTAATGTGGTATAATAGTATGCGTGTAGGGTTTCGACTGATAATGACAATATTATGCTCATCTCATATCTTGAACTACGTGAAGACAACAATCTAGCGCAGAGGAATCCAAAGTTGCTAGCTTTTTCTTCTGCCCATCCATGACGATAAATAGCAGAATCTCCACTGCATTCCTTCAGAATTTCACGGTATTTATTCGCGTACGCTATACCTTCGATTCTGCGCTAATTTTCTACTTACTTTTTGCTTGAGATGAGTCTCAGAAGCCGCCCCCGGCGTTCTTTCGCTCTGCCGACTGTCTTCGGCTTTCTCCTCATCGTTCTCTTCTTCTCCGCCGCGCTGACTGAGGCCAGATGCAGATTTCCTGCCATTTTCAACTTTGGGGACTCGAATTCGGACACCGGAGGTTTCTGGGCGGCGTTTCCGGCTCAGCGAGGTCCCAATGGGATGACTTACTTCAAGAAGCCGGTAGGCCGGGCTACAGATGGAAGAGTGGTGGTTGATTTCTTAGGTATTCTGCCTTGCCATTATCTTTGCTTTTATTATTATTATTATTTTGTTGCAGTTTATCTGGAAAAAAATTATGTTAGGTATCTGGATATGTTTTTTAAGTAAGATGGGGCTATTCATTTCATTCACGTGTTATTTGTTATATCCCTCTCAATCAGGGAAGTTATTAGGTCCGGACACCGAACGTAGACATAGGTCCGGACACCGAACGTAGACATAGGTCCGGAAGTCAATAAAATATCGACATGAGGATATTCAATGTATTTAATGTGTTCGCAGAACTTTAAGCCAAGCGCACTAAAAGCGCAATTAAAGTGCATGTAAAGCACAGTAAAAAATGCACTTAAAGCACAACTAAAACACAACGAAAGCGCAAGTAAAATGTAGGTAAAGCGCAATAAAAAAACGCAGATAAAACGTAAGTAAAGTGCACAAAAAAGCGCAACTAAAGTGCACTACACATGTCAAATTTTTAGTAGATGTCTGGACCTATCTCTAGGTCCGTTGTCCAGACCTAATAATTTTCCCTCAATCAAGGGAGGAGCCAAAATATTTAATTGGTGGGGGTACAAATTGATGATTTCTAACATATTTTTTAAATTTTTAATGATGATTAATTTCTCTTATATATATATATATATAATTTAATTAATAATTTAAATAAAAAAGTAAACGCTTATTGTACATTATTTTGGGGTCTATTGGTTGAGAGGCTGTTTAAGGAAGCAAGAGTTGCTAGGTTTGATCCCCAACAAAAGATTTGCTTGTTCTTAAATTTAAAATCAATTATAATGTAGGTTTTAGGTGTTGTGTGATGGACTGCGTAATAAGCCGCTTTGTAGGTTTTATTTAGCTTCTAAAATAAAATTTTATTTTATTTTCAACTATTATGTGATTGGCCAGTGGGGGCCGTGCCCCCAAGGTCCCTATCCTGACTCCGCCCCTGCTCTCAATATAGTTAAATTATTAGACAATATTATCGAATTTGAGAAACAAATACAATTAAAATGTTGTTTGATTGTAAGTATTAGCAATGTAGAGTGAATTAAAAACATGGGATTTGTTATTTTGTGTTTAGTTGTAGAGATTTATTTGTGAGGCATTTGGATTTGCTTATTTAGTTCATTTTCAATGTATTTTCAATCTATTGCATTAACAAAACGTATTAAGATATCTTACATAGTTTATTTGCTGGAACTTCTCTTATGTTTGTGTATATTTTGGAGAGTGCAGCTCAGGCTCTAGGCTTGCCATTTCTGAGCCCTTACTTGCAGTCCATTGGCTCCAACTTCAGCCATGGAGCTAATTTTGCGACGTTGGCTTCGACGGTGCTGCTGCCCAACACCAGCGTATTTGTATCAGGGATAAGTCCCTTCTCCTTGGCGATTCAGTTCAACCAAATGAATGAGTTCAGAGAACTGGTCTTTGAACTGGGCACACAAGGTATGGTCTCAAACATATTCAAACCAAAGCACTTTAGATCAATCTGTCTTCTCTAATTTTTGAACAACAACGACAATAACAACATCAAGCCTTTATGCCATTATGCGGGTCAGCTACATGAATCTTTTTTCTCCATTGTGTTCTGTTAAAAGTCAAATTCTTATTTAAGTGAAAGTAAAATCATCAGATCTAAAAGTAGGCACACAAGGTATGGTCTCAAACATATTCAAATCCAAAGCACTTTAGATCAATCTGTCTTCTCTAATTTTTGAACAACGACGACAATAACAACATCAAGCATTTATGCCATTATGCGGGTCAGCTACATGAATCATTTTTCTCCATTGTGTTCTGTTAAGAGTCAAATTCTCATTTAAGTGAAAGTAAAATCATCAGATCTAAAAGTTGATAGTTTTAAACTCATTACATTGAACTAAGAAAATAAAATTTAACAGTTTGATCAATTTTTTAGTTTTAATATTTATACATGCAAGAGATACTAATTAGTCAAAATTATTTATCATATCATTGTTGTAATGGGATCCATATTAATTAAAAGAGGTCAAAATTAATTCAAATCTATGTTGTACAATACGATTAGTTCAATCTAATTAGTATCTCTTCAATTCTTAATCTTACCTACTTAATTATATTAATTAAGAAAATTCATCATAACATGTAGTATAATGTATGTCATCCATTTGATAAATTTAAATTTTGAATTAATCTAATTAAGAAAATTACTTAAATGATGATTTAGAAATTTGAAATAATTTTGATCATATGTTACCATTGACCTCATAAAGTAAAATTATTTTAATTTTTAAAAATATTTAATGCAAATTGATTTTATTTTGAATAATAGATTAAGTCATATTGTAAGATATGATCTGTTATAATTAATTTTTTTTAATTTTCATTGCTTGTAAAAAAAATATAACAAAAAACTACATAAAAAATTCATTCAGATAAGAATTTTGGAGCAATTTTGTTGCAAAAGCACATATAAGCATTGGAAATGATATTATATTATTTTATTTTAAAACATTAAGTAATAACGTGATAAAATAAATAAATATGAAATAAATTTATATAACAGTAATATTAGTTCAATTGCTCATAAATAATGATCATGTCAATCACCACTCATCACCTAACATTCTCCATGTACTTGTGTTTATTACACTACAGGAAAAATAGTCATTTTTTGCGGTCATTTTAGACGGAAAATAGCTATTTTTCCGCAAGAGTTTATCTTTTTTGGCGGAATTACGACAGAACATTTTGCTGGTAAAAATCGCGTAGGAAAATTAAATCCGCCTCTGAAAATTTTTCCGATGGTCTTCCAACGGATATTCGGCAGATTTTACAAATTAAACCGTCACAACTCAACGACAATAATTGCGGCAGAAAGACTATCGAATTTTTTTAAAATTACAGCGGAATTTTCTGCCGACAATGCTGCCAGTAATTGCCGTCGACTATTATAGTTCTGTGGCCATCGAAAATGCCGCCAAAATGGTAGAAACAAAGATTACCATTGTAATAGCCGCCAGTAACATGTAGCATTAAAAGAAAAAAATTGCAACCCATTTAAAGTTGACAATTCAGACATGTTGAACCGGTCTGGTTTGCCTCAACTGTATCTGCTTGAGATCCTAAGCCTACATAAATGATTTTGTGCCTAAGGGAGCCATCTTTTTACTTGCTGAACTTGGAAAGAAAGGGAAGAAGTTTATCACTTTAATCCATTATTGAAGAACAAAGCTAAATGACTTCTGTCGCATATCAATGTGTTTTTGTATTAAAAATTTCATGGCAGTTTTTTTTTTCTGATATTGTTGTCTGTCCTTATTCTTTTTTGTTGTAATAAAGAATTGTTTCTGCACTGTAAATCAGATACTCTTCCTTCAAAGCACATCTTTGGTAAAGCTCTATATACTTTGGACATCGGCCAGAATGACTTCACTTCCAATCTTGCTGCCATAGGCATCGAAGGAGTAAAGCAATATCTTCCTCAAGTAGCCAACCAAATTGCTTGGACTATAAAGGTAATCCAATTCATTCTAGTAAAGAACTTTTGCTAGTGTAAGTTTTAGATTTTCTAAATATTATATTATATCTCAATCAAAATTCCTTTTTAGAAGTTAAATAAGAAAGCATTACACCAAAAAAAGTATAAGGACTATTTTGTTATAGGCTATGATGCATCGATATTTTACATTAAGGGAGTATGCAGTGTCTGATATGTGTTGGACACAGACACGCGTCTGACATGTGTTATCTGTCTCATGTCCAATTAAAAACATAACATATGTATACTAGAAACTTGATTAAAATTTTATTAAAAAAATAACTTTTATCTATTAAGGGAGTGTATATATATATATATATATATTGCCTTTTTCATTACGCAATTGAAATCATATATGTGGATCAGGAGCTGTATAACATTGAAGGAAGAACATTCATGGTGTTCAACCTCGCACCTATAGGATGCTACCCTGCTTTCCTAACCCAACTTCCTCACAACAACTCTGATTTGGATGAGTATGGATGCATGATTTCATACAACAACGCTGTTGTGGATTATAACAACTTGCTGAAAGAAACACTGCAGCAGATTCAATCTGAGCTTCAGAATGCTTCAGTGATATATGTGGACACCCATTCTGTGAAGCTCCAGCTCTATCAGCATCCACAAGATTATGGTCAGTTTCACATTCCTCTTTAATTAGCTTTTTAATTAACAATAAATAAATATATATATTTTATATTCTTTAGGTTTACTGTTCTTTTTCCCTTCTCAATTGCGGAAAATTATTAGGGGTGGAGGCTGAACGTAGAGATATGTCTGGACATCCGCTTAAAATTTGACACGTGGAGTACACTTTGGTTGCACTTTTTTGTGCACTTTACCTGCGCTTTAGTTGCGCTTTGACTTCTCTTTTGTTGCGCTTTTTATTGCCCTTTGAATGCGCTTTGACTATACTTTACCTGCGCTTTTGGTGCGCTTGGCTTAAAGTTTCGTGTACCCATTAAATATATATAGCGAAAAATAAATCCAATTGAATATCCACGTGTCAATATTTTATTGGAGTTCGAACATACCTTTACGTGCGGTGTCTGCACCTAATATTTTTCCCTTAATTACATAATGCTCACACAAATATATCTATATCAGGGCTTAAACATGGGACCAAAGCATGCTGTGGCTCTGGTGGTGGAGCTTATAACTACAATCCCCAAGTATTCTGTGGCAACAACAAGAACATCAAAGGCATCAATGTGACTGCAAATGCTTGTGGTGATCCACAAAACTATGTGAGTTGGGATGGGATTCATGCCACAGATGCTGCCAACAAAATCATAGCAAATGCCATACTAAATGGCTCTCACTTTGACCCCCCTTTCCCTCTCTCCCACCTTTGCAATCTTAAACCAATTGGTTGACATACAAAATACATGATGAATGTTGGAGATTTGAAGTGAGAATGTGTGAAGAAATTATGCAAAATGATGGAAGAAGTTTGATTTATTTGGATTGGTACAATATTTGTAAGAAGTTTCTAGATACGATTGTATTGTTAAGTAAGATAATATTGGAACAAATACACTATATTTGATAAAATAATTGAATCAAACAAATCAAAAGAAATTATTGTGGTGTTTGAATTAATTGGTTATGTACATTAGGATGCAAATTCATTAGACATAGAAGTACAAGAAAAGTTGAGCTCTTCTTGCGCTTCCTTTTGTGAAGTTCATCTATTAGCATATTGTGCTCAACCTACAAGCCTTTAAGCTCCATCATTATATAAGGGTTTAACATCTTATTATATTGTTGTTCTATTATACATAGAAGTACTAGAAAAGTTGAGCTCTGTAATCGTCAAATTTTTAGTTATCAGGATATTATCCATTTTAGCCTAAGGGCATCACGGTTTTATCCTATTGATGTAACTTCACGGTAAGTCATCCATCGTAGAATTGTTTTAGGATAAGCACGCTTAATTGTGGAGTTTTTTTAATGAAGTTTCAACCATTACAATAAAAGGCGTCTCGACATTTAAAACTTAGTTTCTTTTACTTAAGAGATTTCACAATCTCCCCCACTTAAGTAACTAACGTCATCGTCAACATCGTTATCCCATAATCATCCAATAGACAGATATGATTCTAAAGGTGACCCCTACAAGTTCAAGTAGTGACTCCCGTCATATATCACCAACAGGAATAAACTGTAAGGCCCTTATGCCAAAGTGGATAATATCTCGATAGCTAAGAGTTTAACTTCTTTTACTTTAAGGATTTCACAAGCTCTCCTTGGCGGTGTCCATTTATTAACATATTGTATTAAGCTTATTTTGATGGGATTGAATTGGATGCCGAAATAAATATAAAAATTATTTAAATAAAATTTAAATGACAGAATATTCATGCAATAAAATTCTTTTTTATTAAAAAATAATTTGAGTTGAAACATTAATAATATCTTATGTAATTTTAAATTTAAATATATGCAATCTTTAAATTCAATTCAAATTTAACACAAAAAAAAAAAGCTTACATATAAATATAATATAAACTCTATATTATATTAATATAATAAATTTATATTTATTTTATTTATAAATGAATGAGAGAGAGAGAGGCGGAGAGTTTGGTTTATCATCAAATTGTCTAGATTAGAATCAAAGTTGATATAATTTAAATTTAATTTGAGCATGATTGACCCATTGGTCATTTGCTGATTCCAAGAAAAAAGCTCATTGTTCACAACTTTATTGGCTGCATTTTGATGAGTATGGTCCTCCAACCAATATTTTTAAATGAAAGTTGCAGTCTTGCAGATCAAACATAAACACTTTTGGTATATTTTTATGCAATCACATGCACTCATGAGATTCAAGTACTCTGTCAACAACTAAAGAGACTGCTAAAGCAGACATTCCAAAACTATTTAGCATTGTAAGAAGAATAAATTGAGAGAAATTCATAGAGTAAATTTTTTTTATGTGGAAATCCAATAAGAGAAGAAAAAACTGTGGTGCTCAGTTGGAATGATTCTGCTAGTGTATATTATATATTATAGATAATACCTTTCATCACAATTAAGGGAGATGTTGATACAATTTGAAGTTTAGCATAAGCTTTGGTGTCCATGTTGGGAATCATTATGGGTGTGATGTTGGGAATCATTATGGGTGGTGATTGTAGTTGGTCACCTAGTTGGAGATGCGTAGTGTTAAGGTTAATTTTGATGACTAGCATCAACCTCATTGTTGATGGTGTGCCATCAATATTGATATTGATGATGGGTCTTGTTGGCAACAACGTAGGTAGGTGTTACCTTTAGTATGTAAGAAGTGCATAGTCTTTGTTGATGATGGTGTGTGTCAATGCTGTTATCAATGGTATGCATCAACATTATTAATAATAGTGACCAGGAAACGACAGTTGCGAAAATATAGTTGATCAATGGTGGTTGGGCAACAATGCTTGGTCAACAGTGCTTGGGCAAAAGGTATATATTCGAATGAAATTGTTAGATGACAGTAGTCAGGTGATGATAGTTGAGCGACTATGCTTAGGTGACAATGGTCAGGCGATGATAGTTGGATGTTGGTAATTGGGTGATTGTGTTTTGGTAATGTGGTCGGTTGATCTTAGTTGGTTGATAACTATAGAATAGAGCCCTCTCCAACTCTAAGTCTAGGACTTATTTGCAATTCTCATCTCAAGTTCTTTTTCGGTGAATAATAAGAATCTATTTATAATATATTGGAGTTGCATTTTAGTAATTTTAGTAAAAAATCTTTAAAATTTTCTTCAAATAGCTTGTGTCAATTCTCACTATTTTCAACCATTCCTTAGGCATTTAAGTGTCTTAATTATATCGAAATTTAAGTGATCTTAAATTCTTTGAATTTCTCTTATTGAGATGTTTATTTTGATTGTAAGCACACAAAATTGATCTCTCAAATATTGTCATGAAAAATAATGCATAGAGCTAATCTTGCTTTACATGTAAATCCATTTCATTTATGATAGAAAGCTCATCATTATCAAGCCTCTCTCAAGACCCATATGGGAGATAAATCAACTAATGGATTTGATATGACATTTTTATTAGGGAGGACTTCTCACTAACATCTCACTTTTTTTTTTAACAAGGACAAAACATTCCATTAAGATAGAAAGATACAACACAATACCTAAAGAAGGGCCACATCAATAGAATTATAGTTAATGATAAAATAAAAAATAATAGTAGCAAAGTAAACTGAGAGTAGGAAAGACAATATCAGAAGAATATCAGACTTAGACCAACACCTAGTTGCCAGGGAAGAGCCATCTACAGAGGACTGACTAAACATCTAAATTGAACAGCCGCATCGAGCCACCCAAGTTGCCATACAACCTTGGTCATCCAAGGCGCATGCAGCAAAGCTGCTTCCTCATCGTCCATTCTGATTCGAATTCAGCATCGCAATGAAAGCAACAGAAATAAAAAAAAAAACAAATAGCACATCCCATAACTTTCATAAAAAGAAAATCATTTCTTCTTGGAATTCCGTTTACATTGCCTAACAAAATTATCGAGCGAGCCCGTATCCAGGGTGTTATCAATAAAGTCATCCCCACTATCAATAGCCATATCACCATGTAGCCAATTACATTGTCACCTAACATCTCTAGCAACATGGGCTAACATATTAGCATTTGAAATGATAGAGATAGACACATCCACTAGAGGCATCACAATAACTTCCTCCCCAACAACAACCAAGGTTTCCTCACCAATATCAACAAAAGAAATAGAATTATCAACAGACATTTTCTCATCATCACTAGCCATCGAACTATCACTAAGATTAATACAGCAATTACTATCAGATACAACCAAAAGGGCAGGAGCCACATTAGGAGAAATAATCCCATGGCCATCGCACCATGAGCCACCAATTCCCCATTAACAATAGGAGAAAAACTAAAACTAATAGCATCAACATGCATAAGGGATGTTGGGGAGAGAACAGGGCAAGACACATGCCCGACATAAGGCACACCCACAACACAATCATTAATAGCATGGATAAGAGAATCCAGCACAGCAACCGGCTCCACCAAAATAACAGGAGAGCCATCCAAACAAATTGTAGCAACAGAAACAGAGACAAATGGAGATTGAAATTGGCAAGATGGAAGTAATTCAACCCCAACATCACCAATAACGAACAAAACAACGGGAGACACAGCCACAGAATTGTCCAGACACACAAGCGATAAAACAAAAGGAGAAGAATCAGCAAGAGTAGGACTAGGAAGGATAAGAGCCGTATCCCCTAAATCCCCAACATCCCCCATGCCAACATGAATGCCAATATCATCAGAAACCCATAAATCCGATTTAGACAAAGAAGGAGCAACATGCAAGCTAGCATTAAGAGTAGGACAAGAGTCACAAAAAGAGTGACCAAGACGCTTACATTTGGGACAAAAGAGAGGAAAATCTTCCATAGTAACTTGCTAGAAATACCCTAGTTTCTCTGGACCTATCCAAATCTTGTCAGAATATTTTTTTGTAATATCAATTTCCACCAGCACATGAGAAACCGACGGGCGAGACCCCAATGCAATGGCATTATCCACCTTTAGCATGTTACCAAAGAGAAATCCCAATCCATGCAGGATACGAGGAGAGAAAAAATGGGGACACAAGTTAGGGAATGAGATCCAGATCGGGACAATGGGAGACTCATCCCCAATATCACCGAAAGGAGACCATTTAGTTACCTTCATGAAGACTTTGAAAACCAGATGAAACATATTACAAAATACCCTACTATAGTCAATTTCATTCTCCAGCTTAATAAGAAAATGAGAAGAATCCAACATGGTCACAGAGAAAGCGCCATTTAAACGAAGATTGAAATAATAATAATTTTTAATCCAACACGAGCGGAGGCCGATGCGAAGGGAAGAAGCCAACAAGCAAAAACTTAAATGGTTCAGCAAGAGCAAAAAACTCGTCTTCTGAAACCAACAGAGCAGAAACTCCACAGAAAGAAGACTGAATAAGATCAGAAAATCTACCAGGAGATGATCCCGCTAAAGCTTCCAAAAATGAGCAAGACCTAGCTGATCCATCCAGAAAATCAGGATCAGAAGAACGACAAACTGCCATTCCAGCCAAACAATAAAAGAAAACGAAAGGGGAAAAGAACTTCCCTCGGCACGCGGAGGAAGAAGCCAAGCACCACCAGCGGGCCACCATAGAGACAACGTTAGGAACGAGCATTTTTTGGATGGATCAGCTAGGTCACTACCATCTCACTTACAATCTACTTGGAATAACTTTCTTATTACTTTATTTTTCATGCTAGAATTATAATTTTCATTTGGCTATTCCTTTTTTGCTACTTTTAAGAATTTTTTGTGCTAGTAAACCATTTTTATAACAACTTCTAAAAAATCACTTTACTTCATATGTTATATCAACTTTACAACCACCTTTATAAAAAAATAATAGCTATCATAAACATAGCCTCAATATTCCACAAAGTGTAATGTATAATGAAAATGCTTAAGCTTTAAAATGAATTGAAGGAGTTTTTCAATCATACCAACAATATAGAACTCTCTTTCATATTGATCGAGAGATCTATGACTTTATTCAGCTACACATGATGTGTTTTGTCCTCCACCACCTTGTGATGGTAACAATGCAAAGTTGCTATAAGTGTATCAGCAAATGCAATAAACATGAAGTTTATAACAAGACTTGATGAAACCTATATGGAGCCTTCATTTGCAATGAATAAGGTACCTCATGTTGTGTGATGGAGATGATGAAAGCTTGTTTAGATGTTAATTAGGGGCGTAAGCAGGTCGATTCGAGCTCGAGTCACCGCTGGCTTGAGCTTCAGCTTGAGCTTGATTAATTAATCGAGTATGAGATTGAGCTCGAGCTTTGTTCTACAAGTTCAAGCCGGTTCATGATCAACCCGGTCATTTGTAATGAAAGATATAAAATGATTGTTATTCAAATATTTATTATAATGAAGTAGTAAAAAAAAAAGTGAAATTAAAAGAAAATAATAAATAACCACTTAACATAAGAGAGTAAGATATAATTTTTTTAACATATTTTACAACTTTGTTCTTAAAATCATCAATGTTAATATATTTTAAATGTATTTCATATTAATATATTTTAAACGGGCCGGCTCTTGAACTAAAGTTGAGTCAGAGCTGGCTCAATATATGACTTTTACTGCATAAAGCTATGCTCGCGAGCTGTTTATTGATTCGTGCTAGAGCCAACTCACGAATCGGATTGACTCGCTTACACCTCTATATTAAACCTATGTAGATTGATTCAATTGGTTTAGACATCAAACATACTCCAATTAAAAGTATTTTAGTGATATTGAAATCTTTGCAATATGATTATCATTTCTACTGTTAAATTGTATGAGTTGGAGTTCATTGTCTCATTCATTCTTTTTTTTTTTTGAAAATTTTAAACAAATTTAGATTTTGTTTGGAGAAGTTTAAACTTTTATATTTTCTACTTTTAAAAGCTCTTTTTTTCAGCTACAGTTTTAAAAATATCTTTTTAAAGGTAAAAGTTTAAAATAACAGTAAAAAAAATATCTTTCAAACACATTATTTTCTTACTAATTACTTCTTTTACCACAAAACTAATCAAAAAGTTGTTCCAAGAGTTTATTCAAGCTCTTTTTATTTTTGCTTTTTAAAATTACTTTTTAAGCCATAGTTTCAAAAATACTTTTCAAAAAACAACTTTTTAAAGATAAAAGTTTAAATAATCAGTGAAAAAAAAAAGTAAAAAAACTATCTTTCACCATATTTCTTAAAAATAGTTATTGCAAACAGATTTTCAAGGTCTAATTATTAGAAAGGCTGTTGCTTTTTATAAAAAAAACTGTTATAAAGTTATTGTGTGAAAGTAGTTTTTTTGAAAGCTATTATAAAAAATAATTTTTTAATACAAAAACATTTTAAAAAATAGTAGGAAAATAATAGCCAAACTAAAAGAAAATTATTACAAAAATTTTCTCAAACATACCCTTAATCATAAAGATATATAGACTCATTAATCCATAATTTTTTAATTAGAACTCTAAACTTTCAAAAAAGAAATTAAAATAGTTGCATTTCTTCATCAAATTTTTTTGGATATTAATTTAGATCAATTAAGACAAACTCACACATAAATTACGTACGCAAAACTCAAGTTCAATACATTTTAGTTATTAGCAAAATCTCTCAACCAACAGACTAAATAGAGTGCATTCTTGATCGAATCCACAACTGAAACAAGTCAGTCGTAGGAGAAATTATTATTTGCGGAGTCCAGACAAGAGAACCATATGAAATTTGTGAGTGTACACAGTAAATACATAGCAAAAATATATAACTATGTATTTATCGTATACCGTCACAGAATCCAAATGATTCTCCGACCCCGCATGTAATAATCTCTCTAGGCATAGCCAGATCCAACAACTCCACTCATGTTTGACAATCAGTTACCACATTCCCGCCACAAATTCCTCACCCTTCACCTCCACTTTTCCAGCTTTCCTCCTCTCTTTCTTTCTTTCTTTCTTTTATTCTCCACTTTCACGAAGAAAACCACCTCATGAATTCTGCCCACTTCCTCTCCTCTTCAAGCCTTTCTCTCCTCCTCTTCTTCACCCTCGCCACCTCCCTACACGCAACCAGCAACTTCTCATCCATAGAAAGCCTCATTCAAAGCCTTGCGTTCCTCCATCTCCCACACCACCACTCCAACCACCCTTACCACCTCCACCTCCCTTCCAACCTCTCCTCCATCACCGCCATTGCCCTCCGTCTCCGCGGCGCCGACTTATGGCTCCGCCGCACGAACCTCGGATACTTCCACCTGCCGCCGGGCATTGTCACCTCTCCCCATGTAAGGCGAACGGTCCTCGTCTTTTATGACCTCGGCAACCTATCTTCATCCTTCTTCTCCGTTCCCGGCCACATTCTTGTTGCCCCGGTTATCTCATGCCTTGCCTACGATGCGTCGAATGTGAGCATGCTCGGTAGCATTAGAGAGGTTAGTCTACGGCCCATGCGTGATCCGATAACGATTGTGTTTCCGTCGGTGGATGAGTTGTCGGGGCCGGCGGCGCGATGTATGAGGTTCAGGTCGAGAGGGTTGGCGCAGGTCGGCGGGGCGGCGGGGAAAGGGATGAGGTGTGTGGTGAGTGGGACGGGGCGTTTCTCGGTGGCGGTGGCGGTGGAGGAGGGGAAAGGGAAGGGGAAGGGGAAGGGGAAGGGTAGGATGTGGTGGGTGTGGATGTGGATGGGAATTGTGTGTTGGTCAGTGGGGATGGTGGGGTTGGGCGTGGGTAGGGTGAGGAAGAGGAGGATGGAGGAGATGGAGAGGAGGGGAGAGGAAGGGGAGGTTTTGGATAGTGTGTGGGTGGGAGGGAGTAAACTGCCGGCGGCACCGGCGACGAGGACGACGCCGGCGATTGAGAGTGATAGTGTGACATCGGCCTCTGCCTTATGAGTGTAGTTTACGTTTGGAATATTAGCTATCAATATTAAGTTTGAATGGGAAATAATTACTATAGGATGAAATTTTATATGGTGAGCACTAATTTTGCAGCTTAAATTTTTAAAATTTAATGCAAAATTTTTTTAATCGAATTTCTATGCTTTTATATTGATCGCCAAAAATTATCTTTATCAGACAGGATTCTAGATGCATATTTTTAAATTGAGAAGTTTTGAAATTAAATTTATGATCATTTAAACTTTGATTTCAACAAATTTATAATTGAATTGAATGTTTCGACTAGATGAAGCTAACGGCACTAAAAAAAGTTTAATCTAGCACAAATAAAATGACTAAAGGGTACCTAAATATTTCAATACTTGAATGGGATGACCAAATGATATCCAAATTTGACATGCTTATAAATGATTCGAACATCTCAAGAAGACAAATCCAATGAGCCCGAGATTTCTTAAATCTGACATCATTAAGATATTTAAATAATGAATGAATATTTTATATATGATTTATGGAATTAATATGGGTCATCTGAAGGTGTATTTCAGATTATGACTTTATTTATATGGGCATATCGCTCTCAGAAATCTATAAATTGATCATCATTCTCTATATGAAAGGGAGGAGAAGGTTGGAGCTAGAGCTTGAACTATGGCTTGAGGTTCAAATGTGCTCTGAGGCTCTAAGAATCTTAAGGCACCACCATTGAACAGCTGCCCGACCATCACCATCGAGCCTTCATTGGCCAATCACTAGGATCCTTTAGCCACCATTGTGAAACAAATCGACTATGATCCAAAGACCATCGTCGCAAACTATACCCGACTACGACCCTTGAACCATTGTGTCATGACAACTGTCCCTCGACTACCATCGCATATTATAGCCTTTCGATCATCATCACTTAATTATAATCATAGGACCACAATCACCCAACTACGACTCTTGAACCATTGTGTCATGACAACTGTCCCTCGGCTACCATCTCATGTTATAGCCTTTCGATAACCATCGCTCAATTATAATCCTCGGACCACCATTGTCTAACTTTGGTCCTTGGACCACCATCATTTGACTACGATCTTAAGATCACAAAACTACGATGCTTGAACAACTTTCACTTGATGATGGCATTTGGACCACCATCACTGCTCCCACGAGGAAGAATATTTACTTGCAAATACTAGTACTGTCTACTACAATTACAATAATTATTCTATTCAGTAAAGTTAATAATTGAAGGAGATTCAATCACTTGGTTTAAATTCTATAAAAAAATTAGATGAAACATATTTGAATAAAACATTTTGGATTGATGGAATGCAAATACAATATGTTTCTTATTTTTTTATATTGATGCTATTCAGAATATATGCATCACCGACTGTTCAGTTAAGCATGAAAAGACAAATGACAGATTAAACCCTTTCAACCCCAATATCACTCTAAACTCCCATACCCTATGAAAATCTTAAAAGATTAAGTGTAACATGTATTGTTAAAACACCCTCATTATAATTCATCTCTATAAATTTGTTATATGTCAATATCTATGCTTATGCTTGCATCATACCAATCAAATATACCTGGTTTTGCTTGCTTTTTTATTCCTAAGCTCTATATTACCCTAATATTAATTATACATATAACCACTATATGTATCAAATGAAGGCCTGGTATATTAAAAATATCATTAAATTATTGATGAAAAGAATTTATTAGTACTTCACATTCTATTTTCAACATCAATCCAAAATTAGATAATTTAGTTATATATGCAGAATAAGTGAAACAAACTCATTTTTATTAATTACACAAAAGAATGAAAGTAGAGAAGCAAATATATCATTAGATGAGTTCAATGATCTCCTCTACACTCCTTGAATTTACAGAAGTTCTTCCACAAACATTTACCAAATACCCTCAATTCCATTAGTTGTCACTTTTAAGAAAACTATAGAGAAGCACTGTGAAGACTAAAATTAATTTTGTTACTAAACTCTTAGTAGCATTACAAACAAATCATTTATTAAAAAAAAAATACATAAAATAATTTGGCACCGTGGCGCTTGAGACACTTATGTCTTGGTGCTCATAAAATGAGCAAACGCTACAGTGCTAAAAGATTTCCTTCGCTGCGATGCTAGCTTATGTGGACACAGTACTGTTTAGTGAATAGATGCATCACTTCGCTAGCAAATCGTGTCCTAAATGATTACAACTGCAACATTGTAGCATTGCTAACGGTTGAGCGCTGCGGCATTCACGTGGCGCGCAATCCCCTTGTCTTGGAGGTACTGGAAATCGGCACCACGAAACTGTGCAGAATTAGACTAGGCTTTGCAGCGCTGACTCCTCCGACGCTGCAACACTGTTAAATAGAGACTGGGCGCCACCATGTCTATATTGGATGCTCCAATTATGTAGTATTCAACACCGCAACACTGTATCATACTTGAATTTTTGCATATTTCATGCATATTCCTTGTAATATCTTGTATTTTTAATTTTAAATTTTTTTGGAGTCATTATAATTCCAAATCGTAATTCGATTTCGTCACCATATTTTGATTGTAGTATTTTACTTACATTATTTTTTTGTAATTTTTGGGCACACCGATAAAAATTCTTAAGAAATTTGTATATATTGGTACAAATGAGCATTTTGAGACCTTCATGTGTCCGTATTACAAATTGTTTTTACCGATATTTTTTAAATATTATATTTTATTTTATGAATATTTTTCTGTAATTTTTAAAGCCCTAAAATGATTTATTGAATTTTATATTAAAGAAATTGATTAATTATATTATTATATTAAATTTATATTATTATTTAATTAAAAATATCTCAAAGTCACTATAATGCATTTTTAAAATCTTTTTCCTCTTCTTAAGTTCGGTAATAGAGACTTGAAATGAGAGATGTGAGAAATGAGAGAAGAAGTTTAGATTTGGAGGCTGCAGAGCGATTTTCGTCCGTCGACACAGTTAGAATATTTGCTCGTCTCACTATAAAAATTCATATCCTATTTTTGATTTCTAAGATTTTGTATTTTTTATATTTTTCAGTCAACTTTGTGATTTCGTTACTGAAAAAAGTGAATAATTTTATATTGACAAAACTTTCACCGCATAACTTTTTGTATTTTATAGAGATCATGATTATGAGCATTTTGAGTATTTATTTGATATTTTTCACCGTGTGATTTTAAAAATACAATGATTTTTGTCTATCCAAATTTATTTTGATCTTTAAAAATAGTGGTGTAGTACAATAAAAATCTTAAAATATCATTTTATATAATCCTTATTAATTTGATAATTTTTTAAAAATGTGCATTTTTGCCTAATAGGATTTTTTATTATATACCCTTATGACATTTTGGCATATTTTAAATTAAGCTCAATTTTTCATCTTTTGCTGCAATATAATGAATGTGAACATATGATTGAAATTACTATTATAATACTATGATAATAATGTGTGTGTAAAAGACAAGTAAAGATTGTTTGACCTGTTGGTTGGAGACTGATTGACATGTACAGGATGGTGGGCTGACGGGCTTTTCTTTAAATATTATGATTTGGTGTTATTCTCTACTGATTCACGTTTTACTGATTGGAAGTTATAAGGAGATAATTATTGTGTCGAGGGGCAAAGAGTGTCGACTCTATTTACTGAGCTAATGGTTTACTGATACTGATACAATACTGAAAAACACAGTGATAGACAATGCTTCTTCTTGTTTAGTGTGACTATTAAAATGAATATTTTTGTGGCATTGTTCGTTCTTATTATTGTACATATTTATTATTACTGCACGGATTTACTGTTATTGCATTATTCTACTACTCTTGTCATAGGATTGTTATTATTACTAATATAGACACTGGTACTATTTGATACTAATGATTCATTGTATTGATATTATGCATGTGATATACTGAGCATGTGATATAGAATATCTAGATAACATATATACATTTAGTTATGATTTTACTATATTGATTTGATTTTAACAGTCATTAATGATGTTTTGATTTGATGCTTTATACAATTTTATACTAACTGATATTATGGATACGACGATTTCTTTTGAGATCTGACACTCATAATGATTTACTACTTTATGGGCTTTTATACTGTTTACAGATTCTACTATTGCTGCTTATGAGTTTTACTATTTTTGCATTGATTCAATGATCATATGAATACAACTACTATGATTTGACTATTGATATGCATATTTCTCCTTTATCATACTTTGAGTTTAGTTGTAGGTTTTGGTAACCTACTGGGCTTTTTAAGCTCAATATATGTGGTTAAATATTTTCAGGTCAGGATGGGGGAGCGGGAGTATGAGGCTGATCGGGGTTCTTTAGGTTCTATTTCTTTATATTTTAGTTATTTTTTTTACTCAGGATATGATAGATATGTGATAATTGAGTAGATCCTGAGTAGTGTGTATGACTTTTGGGAATGAATATAGATATGCATATTGATATTTTAAATTATAGAATATATTGTACTGTTTATTACTGATAGATGACATTAGATAGCTCTAGTGGTGTTCATTAATGGATAAAAGAATAATTTTTCCAATTTAAATTTTTGGGTATCACATTCCTACACAAACATAATTAAAATAAAATAGTTTCACTAATAATTTAACATATAAAATATAGCATTATTTACACTTATCATCCTCCAACTACCTTTGCCCGATTATGGTCCACCGACTATTGTCGCCTGAATATGGCCCTCTTACCATCATCATTTGAATATGGCTCTCCAAACACCATAGCTTGATTATGATTTTTTTTATCTTTGTTGCCGGCTAACTATGATTCCTCTGATCTCCATCAATGGCCATCTGTGATCCTCAATCCATGGTCGACCGGCTACGATTCACCGAACAACATTCTCCTGAACAATGTTGCTAGGCTACTCCAATGCCTAACGACTTCATCACTTACCATCATCGATAATA